AAATAAACATAATGTTGAATAGTAATGATTATATATATATATATATATAAATAAATATTTTCCACAAAATAAATAAATAAATAAATTACTTACTCGTTTAATTATTATTATTATCACTATCACTATTTAATAAAACAACAAAATAAAACTAAAAAATAAAATTTTTTAAAAAATATTATATATAAATTACATTCGATTGAAATAAAATAAACAAGACGACGACGACGACGTAAACGGCGGTAATCAAAGCGGCAAAAAAAAAATAGAAGGCGGTGGTTCAAATAATTTTAGTATTAAAAATAAAAATTTGTTTTTTACCTCTATGGAAATGATTAATTTTACGTTATTATCCCAAAAGATATATAGATATGTTCTATTTTATTTTGTTTTGTTTGTTTTTTTTTTTTTTTTTAAATTTCACACAATTCACTTTTATTTATTTATTTTAAAAAAAACAAATAATAATTAAGGAAGACAATAATTAATTAATAACTTTTATTTATTTTTATTTCACGACACTTAAAATTTACAAAAAAAAAAAAATATTAAAATAAAATAAAAAAAATAATAAAAATAATTTTTTTTTTTTATATCATTTCGTTTTAATTCACATTTTTTTAATATTTTTTTAACTGTATATGGAAACACGTAAATTTTTTTTTTATTTTTAAATAAAATAACTTGACATTTTAATTTCCGATTAAATCAAATTTTCCCATAACCCCTCCCCCCGTTTAAATGTAAAAAATTTATTATTTTTTATTAAAAAACAAAATCGTTCGAATTTTATGTATTTATTTATTTGAAAAATGATTATAGTATATTTAAATAAAAAAATTTAATAAATTACACAATCACATCCGTTAAATTATATGACATGCCGGGAAAAAAAAATTATTATTATTATTTTAACCGTATTTTTTGAGTAAAATTTTAGTTATTAGTACGTTTACCTTGACAGTAAGCGGTATTTGGTTACAAAGTTAATAAGAAAAACTGATTCAATTTTCTAAAATGCGCATGTTCAATTTTCCCAACACAAAAAAAAAAAAATTTTCCTTTTTAAACTAAAACACAACAATATTTCTTTCGATATGATAATAATTTTTCAAATGAATGTTCTTACGCCATCTTGAAACGTTTATTTCAACTCCATTTTGAATTTTATTCGCGCATGCGCGTACGTAATATGAAATTATTAAATTTTTTTCTTTTTTTTTTTTTTTTTCCAAAAAAGGTTTTACATTAATAAAATAAATCAACGATAAAAAAAAAAAAAATTTTTTTCTAAAAAAATACATATATTTATTTATTTAATTAATTAAAAAATTAAAATTTCCTTGTAAAAATTTAATTTTTTTTTTTTTTTTTTACTTAATTTTTTTTCTTTATGAAATTCATTAAAAAAAAAAAAAGGATTAAAAATATTTTAATTTCATTGTTATAACTTAAAAAAAAAAATTAAATAAAATATTGTATAATTTAAACAACCGTAATATAACAAAAAAAAAAAAAAATAAGAATAATAATAATGTTCGAGAAAAATAATACAACAAATAAATAAATAATAATAAAAAAAAAAAAGATCATCACTGATACCCGTTCTCTGTTTTCGCTTTCATTTCGTATAAAATGTTCATTAATTCAGCAAAACGTTTTTTTATATCTTCTACGCTACGAGAAGGTATAACTTTTCCTATTTTTAAAAAAGTTTCCTCGCAATTTTCTTGTACTTGAAGAGTTTGCAATATAACACGATCCTCTTCTATTTTCCACGGTAAATATTTCATTTTAACGTCTTTTTCTTTTATAATAAAATCGCGAGTTTTAACAACGTTATCCTCATCATCGTTTGTTTTTATTTTTTTTCACCATTAACGACTTTACTTTCGATAATATCAGCACAATTTTTACTTTCGTTCGAATTATTTTCAAGTAAAAGTAAAAGGGGTTTAGAATCAGCAAATGATGATGAATTACTCGTTTCCGGTATTGATAGCACGGGAGGTGATCGACTTCTTTCCGTATCCTGTGACGTCGATATATTTCTTTCGAGTCTCGAATCTTCGAGTTCGGTAAAAAAAGAATCATATAATTTTTTTTTTATCGTTTCCGGTTGTATTTCGACTCCGTTCGATGCACTACAATTAATTCCTTTTGATTTAATTAAATTTTCATTTTCTTGAAAATTTGAACTTGACCCAGCAGCAGACGATTCCTTACAATTATTATTATCGATTTTTAAAGGGGAATCGTTATTTACAACACTTATTACGTCCGACGACATTTTGAATTCGTTTTTAACAACTAACGAGTCTAAGTTTTTACTAAAATTTGATTTGTCTTCTAAATTAATAATTTTTGATTTACATTCATTAACGATACACCTTGAAATATATTTATCGCAATGTTTCGGAGACACGCTTTTTTTCCTATTAAATTTGGGTGATTTTGAATTTAAATATTTTGTTTTTAATTTATCATCTTCTTCGACGTCCGATTTAAATTCATCCGAACTTAAATTGCAGGATTTCGTGGGTGATAATCCATCTTTAAAAGCAGACAGCCTATGTTTTTTCTTTCCTCTTTTCGGATACAACTTTGGAGTTAATCTTTCTTTATGATAATTCACATCGTAATCGTAAAAAACTATTTTTGCTGAACGAAGTAATTTTCCATTTTGTAAAAATACTTTACCGTTAATGTACTGAAAATAAAATAAAAATAAAATTTTCCCAATGAAAGTAAAAAATTTTAATAATTTTCTTTTTGTAAAACTTCATTCACTACATTACATACCTTTAAGGAACAAGAAACGCAATGTTGTTCTAGCTCTTTGAATTTATTTACATGACATTCACAAGGACAAGAATCCCCACCATAGAGATCTTCAACTTCGGGAAGATGAATTGTTTCCATTATTTCTTCATCATCCGAATTATCACTATTCAATTCAGGATATTCAATTTTTTCATAATCGAAACAAAAATTATCAGGAGGTTTCATACTTGGCAACATGTGTAAAAAATAGTCTCTTAATACTGAATTTCCTTTTAACAAAGGTATCACTGAATTTATCACAGTCTCAGTACTTATGTTAGATTTTGTCGCTAATGATTCAAGTGTTGAATGTATTTTTTTTATTTGATGAGGAGATTTTGCAAAATAAATATCAATTAAATTTAAAAAATCAGACATTGTCGTTAGGAGTAAATGTTCCATAAAAACACCACATTCAACCGCTTGCTCTGGAGTTAGAAAAGCGACAAAATCTTCAATTAAATCTTTGTGAATCGAAAATATTGATTTAATTTTATTAAATAATTCGCAGACTGTCAGTCCATTTTTTTGAAAATTACATAAAAGATCAATAAATTGATTATACAGATTTTCATCATTCTCCATTAACCTTTGCTGAACTTTAAGAAGATAATTTTTGGCAAAAGCTGAAAATAATGTGAAAGCAATGATTAAAAATTCATTAAATTTACAATAAAAAATTGACATGTCTCAAATTTAATTGTTTAATTTAATTAAATTAATATTTTACTTTTAAATAAATATAAATATAATTTAAAGAAAATTTACCTTCTTCCCTTTTTTCTTTGAAAGCAAACGTATCCGTTTCCAATAATTCTAGGCTTCTTAAACATTTCAATTTTTTTTTATTGCTAGATAATAATTTAGGCTTGCTTATTTTATTATTATTATCTTTTAATAAAGAATTATCTATTAATTTTGATTCATTATCAGTCATTTGTTCATTTGAAACATCATTTGTATTATCTACTTCATCTTTTTTTTTTCTTTTCAAAAGATTTAATGCACAAGGCAATAATTCAGGCTCTATAATTATAACATTTCCAGAATCAGTTTTGGGTAAAATAGTCTGAAAAAAAAAACAAAACAAGAATAATAATAAAATTATTTTTATCAAGAAATTAATAAAATTTTTTAATTGAGACTCATAGTTCAAAAATAAATAAATATTTTTCATACATTTATTTTATGTATCAACATTTGACACTAAAATGTACATTCTTTTTTTAAACAAAATATATATTTTATTACCTTTAATTGTGGTTTAACTTGTTTTTTTTGCTTAGAACGTCCACCGTGAAGTATTCGAGGAAATTTTAATTTATTTTTTATTTTTCCCTGTCTGTGTCCCGTATATTTTTTCAATATAGGGCTAACAACTTTCAAAGGTGATTTTTTATTGCCTTCATTAACTTTCTTATTTACTACAGCAGGTTCTGGAGAAATCATTATATTATTTAATTATAAAAACATCATTATCAGCCTGTCGTTGTCAAGCCAATAATTAAAAGTCACCATTTCATAAAAAACATTTTTTAACATTTAATTTGATAAGTCTCACTCAAGAAAAATCTTAATATTAACATATTCACTAAAAGCAGTTAAAATCACAATTCTTTGACGTGGCACTAGACTACATTACTTATTATAAAAAAAATAAGTTTTTAAAACTTTTTGTAAAACTATTTTAAAGTTAATATATAAAATCTATTAATATCTAAAGAAGTACATTTTTATTAATTATTTTTAATAAAATAATTAAAAAAAGAAAACAATATTTAAAAAATTTAATGTTTTCTTTTTTTAATCAAGGATTTATAAATTCCCATCGCGACGTTACTTAGAAATTATTTTTTTAATAAAGAAATATTAAATACCAGAAACCATAATTATTACAATTAAAATATAAGACATTTTCTTTTTTTTAATCTTAAAATTTTGTATATAATATCTTTTAAGAAATAAAATTAAAAAATAAGTAGATGAGAAACAGTTTTTTTCATTATCGAAAATTTTTTATTGTGTTTTCTATTTTCATTGACAGATGTCTCTAACGGTTTTAATATAAAATATTAATGAAATAATTTTAATAATTCATAAAAAATGATTTGAATTTTTCTCAAATAAAAATAATCTTATGTAAAATAAATAAAATAATAATAATAATAAAATTATCAAACTATTAAGTTTTAATAAAAGAATAAATTTTTTTAAATGCAGGGAAATACTAATAATAGTAAAATTTTCATGTGTGAGAAATGATTCCAACCTATGAGAAACACTTTATACATTTTATTATAATAATAATAATAATTTTCTTTTAATTAATAACTTTATGTAATAATGTGTGATACATAATTAATTTTAAAACAAATAAATGTGTAGAAATAAGAATTTTTTTCTCCCGGTTGTCTATTTTATGATTTTTAGTTCATCCTTTGGAATGTGATGATGATGATGTTCAATAATTTCTTTTTTTTCTCAAACCAAAAATCATAAAATAATCCATGATATTGACTATAAGAAAAAAATTATATGAAATTTATCCAGTTGATTTTTATGAGAATGTCTAACAGTCTGTTTTCGACATTTCTCCCCCCCTCCACCCCCCATTAAAAACTTCATTTCATTTAAAAACAATAAAATTCCACACACATATACTAATTTAACGTTTTTTTTTTTAACTTTTAAAGAAAAATATCAAATAATAATAATAATAATATTTATTATTAAATTTCTTAAACAATTAAATTAAAAGTTTTTTTTTTAATTTTTTTCTACAAGAAATAAATTGATTTAAAAAAAATAAAATAAAATAAGAAAAATACCGTAGAATTATTCCATTGTAAAAAGAAAAAAAAAAAGGAAAATGGCTCAGAAAGAAAAAAAAGAAAAATTTTAATAAAAATTTAAAAAAGAAATATAAAAGAAAGGAATGAATAATAAAAAAAAAAAAAAAAAAGAATAAAGAAAGAATCTAAAGGATATTGAATTGTGGTTTTTCATGATTGGGTGACATTTTATTGCAAATATAAATGCTTCATCTTCATCTCCATCTTTTTTTTTTTATTTTTTTTTTTTTAACTTTTGCTTTTAGTTGGAAAAAAAAATTTTAATATTCACTCAAATTATATTTAATAAAAAATATTGTTGAAAAAAAAGAAAACCGTTTTAATTTAATTTGTCATCATCACGTGACGAAAATGTAACAAAAATAAAGTTGGTAGGCATTTAAGTAGGTAGGTAAGGAGGATTTTAAATAAAATGATTAGCAGAACAATGATATTATTTTGACATGTAATAGTTAAGGATCATTTTTGTCATCGTTTCTCCAAAAAACTTTTTTTTTAATTCACGTACCTCGTAATTATGGTTAACAAAGGAAATAATTAAATTAATTAATAACAATGTTTTTCTTTCCCTTTCCCCCCTCCCTCCATTCATAAAATAATTTTAACGGTAACGTATTGAATTGAATGGTAAATTAATACTTTTGTTAGTTTAGTTTCCTTTCATACAATTTAATTGTAATAAAGATTAAATTATTTTAATTTTAGGGTATGCGAAATAGTAGCAGTAGTAGCAGTAGTAGCAGTAGCAGTAGCAGAAGTAGCAATAACAGGAAATCTTTTATTTATTTATTTATTTATTTATTATTTTTCCCTCAATTTTGCACGCATATAATAATATTAAATTACAAAACTTTGTAACAGATCTTTTAAAAAAAAAATTATATATATTTAAAGGTTCTTTCTTTTATTATATTTATAATAGGGTCATTGAAAAAAAAAAAAAATCACAATTCGGTTTAAATATGACACCTAAAATAATAATAATAATAATAAATAAATAAATAAAATAAATCGCATTGAAAACGTGTAAAATATTTTTCCTTTTTTTCTTTTTTTTTAAAGAAAATTTTCCATGGATTTTTCTTTATTATTATTATTATTTATTTATTTACTTTTATAAATTTTTTTTTGTTTAAATAAATTGGGAAAAATTATTTTGGAATAAATTTTTTTTGACGTAAATTCATTCACTCGTGTACGTTCTTGATACCTTTTTTGTGTACCTTAAGTATTTGCACGAACGAACCACTCCATACATTCAATTTAATCTTTTAGAAGGAAGAGATTTTTTGTTTGTACCTTTTTTTTTTTTTTTTTGTAAATGAACTCCCGTCGACATGAAAATTTTACATAATAACAGTTATAATAATAATAATAATAATAATAATAATAATAATAATAATAATAATAATAATAATATCAACAACAAACATTTCAATTATAAAATCAGACTATTATTTAATTTTTTTGTTAAAAAAAAAAAAACTATTTTTATAATAATATTGGGTTATACTGTTTCGCCTAGTTATTATTATTATTATTGAAATAGTAATTAGAGATTTTTATAGTCAAAAAAAAAAAATTGGAGTATGAGGATGGTGGTGGTGGTGGTGGGGGTGGTGCTATATTTATACATATCCAATAGACTATGAATGAGTTTTTTTTTTTAACTGCATTGAAAATTTTTTTTCTGACAGAAAAAAATAATACAAGAGAGAGAGAGAGAGAGAGAGAAATAAAAGCAATTAAAATGTCAATCACAAAAAAATAAATAAATAAATAAATTTTATTTGAATTTTAATAAATAAATAAAAAATTTAATAACAATTTGAATGAAAAAAAAAAAAAAAATGGGATCGTTTATGGAAAATTTATTTTTTTATTTTTTCGTATTGTTTTTCTCGCTTTTGTTTTCTGTTGTTTTCTCCTTTGGTTTTTTTTTTTTTTTGTAACACATTTTTTTCGTTTGTTTGTTTGTTTGTTTGTAAAAACAGTTTTCAATTAAAAATTTTCTTTTATAATTTTAAAATTTTTGTAATTGACAACAAACGATAAGAAACAAAAGTTTTGTACCCTTTTCAATTATATTTATTATCTAAAATCTTTTTTTTCGGCCTCCATTTCTTAAATAATTTCGATTTGTCTTTTTTGTTTTAAACTAAAACTTTCTTAATTATTTTCTTAATTATTTATTTATTTATTAAAAACATAAAATTATGTATTTGGTTACTTGTGTATGATTTAGAGAAAACATAAACAAACGGTGAGAAAAGTAAAATTTCGTTTTTAACTTTGTTTTGTCGATTAATAATTGTGATTTTTTTTCTTATAAATTAATAAATAAATAGCTAAATAATAATAATAATAATAAAAGGTATATAAAATTCAGTCACAAGGAATCCGGTAAAAAAAAAAAAAAAAATTTTTAAATGGCGAAACGATAAAAGCTCCGCATGTGGCTGTTAGAAAAGATCAATTACAGCAATTACATTACAATGAATGCTCTTTAATACTTTTTTTTTTTTTAATCTTTTGTTCTAATAATAATAATAATAATAATAATAATAATGAAATGAAATGAAATGAAAAAAAAAAAGCTTGACTTCTCCGGATGCAAAAAAAGAAAAAAAAAAAAAATTTGTGATTTTATAACAAAAAGAAAACGTGGGCATAAATTTGTACCCCATATATATATTTGTTTGATTCCTCCTCAAAATGCTTCTTGTATTTTCTATATAATTTCTTTTGTAATTCATGACAGGGAGGATATTATTATTATTATTATTATTAATTGAATGGGAGTTTTCAGTGGTCGACCTTATTTTTATTTTATTATTATTTGATTATAAAATTCAATTCAATGTCATGTCAAACGTGAAATTTTTTGATACTAAAATAAACGGTTCAATTGATAATAATGTCGTCGTCCATTAACTCGTTTTTTATTGATTCGCGTGGGGATTTTTTTTTTTTTTTTAAATTTTCCATTTATAACGTTTGGTCGAAAAAAAAAGAAAAATTCAATTATAAATTAATTCGCATACTCTCCTGATATAATTTTTTTTTTTTAAATAATAATAATAATATGTTGACTCCACCTTTTTAACGAAAGAGGAGGAACTAGTAAGTTGAAAAGGTTAAAACTAAACAATGTTTCATTTGATGAAAGAATTTTACTCTTAAAGCGCAAGACTCAAAATAAAATTGTTAATGTTACATTTTCATTTTAATAATTTTTTAATATCATTATTATCATCATTCTAATGCCGTTGTTTATTATTAAGGTTAATCATTATTATTATTATTACAAAACATTTTATTATTATTA